TATCGTTTATTCTTGGGCAATTGCCAGTTTCATTATTTTTCTATCTTAAATGTAGATGTGTCAGGTGGGGCCTGTGTTACCTTTAATTAATGTTCGCCGCTTGGGCTGAGACAGGGTAATACAGGGTCTGCTAGCGAACAAAAATTGCCCGATATCGAATCCTCTGGGATAGCTCCAGTTGGGAGAGCACTTTTGGGTTTTAATTGAGTGAGAAGAAATTAGGCTTTTGAATCCTTGCTTCCAAGCAGCCAAAGGTACTCTTTCGCTAGAATCTTGGTAAATAACTATTTTGGAAATTCAATCAGCTGCCATTTTTTATCGATACCTGACAGCCATCTCTAACACTTCGAACAGCTTTATTTCTTCCCATTGCGAATGCTTTCATTATCCTTGTCTTGCATTTCACCTTTATTTGACCAGAAGTATCCATCAAGATTTTTTCTGACAAGCCAATTCTGAAGTTGTGCTTGTTATTTTACTATTCCTACTACCTTCCAGGTTCTAAATTCTTATAATGGGTCCAATATAATGGGTCAAAAGATCCTCCTTGAAATGTACCATACCACTAGGATTACTATACTAGCGATAATTAATATTCACTGGCAAAATAAAAGAATTCTGCGGTTCGTAGGGTGGTACTGGATCGTGATGAATTTAAAACAAGAAGTGCTTTTGCCAAGGAAGGACACTATACTAAAAATGCATACGAATTGTAGATTTATGTGAATCTCTTGGCATATCATTGTTTAGTTGATTTTCATATAGTGCGAACTTCTGTGACAAAGAGGTAAGTTGGTCGACCGCACTCAAACTCGATGGCTGTCTGCCGTCGTTTGATTGTATTAGTGCCTTAAAATTAATATAATCCTCGATAAACCCTTCTTTGCTGACTCAGGACCAAGTCAATAAGTAGGATAACCATAAGCCTTCACTATGGTCTGCCCAAGTGACCCAAAAATGGCATAAGATATTATACCATCTCTCCAGATATTCACTCACAAAAATAGACATATACACACACACATATATATATATATATATTGCTTGTGAAATGATCAGTAATTTTCGAATAAGAAATTGAGTCGCTCTAGGTTGATTAAGGCGAGTCAAGTATTAATAGTTGAATTTTCCAACAATGATTTGAGTAGTTCTTACTATATCATCGAATTTTACTCAGCCTTTCGTAAGGTATCCAGTCTGGCTAAGAAACCATTTTGAATGGCAAACTGAAGTGAATTTTAATTCCATCAGAAAGCTAACTCATTTCCTTATGGAAAAACCCAACTAATAAACCTTAAGCTACCTTAATCTATCAACATGACCCAATTTCTTATATATCTATGACAAGTATGTGTGAAATGTGTTTTTTAACTCAGTATAAGTTTAAAGTTCTTATGAGATGTTATACCAGCTCTGTTGATGTCTCGCAAGGGACAGGGTAAGCAAAAGCAAAGAGTATCTCAAGGACTATGTCAGCATGAACGGTCCCGATAAATCAGCCAGCAACAGATCGCGCCAAATCTGTAATTATCTCTGGGTAAGATCGACCTCAGCATTTCTTCATGGCACACATTCACACACTAAGAAGACCTGAGCCTCATTGAAATCCATCCCGGAAGTCACCGACCCAATTTTGTTAAGCATGGGCGAAAAATTTAAATCCGTGATATTTATTTTCCGTATGCAAGTAGAGTTTCGAGTCTACCAGTACA